CAATAGTAATGATATTATAACAAATACCATTAGAGATGCTCTTACAAATGGCAAGAATGTTGTGAAATAATACTCCAAAATTACTTAATAATCCTCCATATATAACATTCACCATGATTAATGTGCCCGTGCGCATCACACATATTGAATATTTTTAGAAAAAAATAATTATTTGTGTGACAACTTAATTTTAATAAGGATTATAAGTGTCAGATTAATATATTTTTTAATTTTTTTATAAATATGTAAAATATGAGTTAGTTTTAAGTGATATAGGCCTTGTTTGGGAAGTGATTATTTTAGTAGACTTTTTAGTTTTTTTGCTATTTTAGTTTGTGTGTTTGGGAAGTTTGGTTAAATTTTTGGGTTGATTGTTGTATTGAAAAATGTGTTTGGAATGATGTTTAAATTGAAATGACAAATTTGCCTCTGACTTTATTTTTTCCAAAATTGTTGTGTAGGAGTAATATCGTAATTTAACCTGTCTGCAGCCTACACTGTTGGTGGCAGTGTAGGCTGCGTTGCTGCAGCAGCCGTTGCTTTTTGACTTTCTTTTTTCTTTTTTTCTTTTTTTTGAAAATCAATGGTTGGTGAGGCTTTTTGGCTATTTTCTCATTTCAGGCTAAAACAGCCTCTTTCAAGGCTTCCCAAACACCCCCATAATAGAAATGTGATGTGACTTAAATAAAATGATTATGATCTAAAGAAGATAATGTGTTAGAATAACATGTGCTATTTTAGAACATACCAAAAGTGTTGTTTTGGAAAGTTGGTAAAAAACTGACTTTTTGACTTTTTAACCTTTTTTGTGGCTTTTTTTGGCAAAAAATTGGATTTTTTTTTGGTAAAAAAATTAACTTTTTTGGCTAAAAAATATGACTTTTTTGGCTAAAAAAAGAGTGCTACTATTAGCACCTGCCAAAATTCTTTGGACCCCCCATTTTATAATTTTTTTTATTACAATTATACCCTAAAGTAAAATTACATTAAAAGACATTATTAAATGGAACACTCACCTATCAATAAAAACTAATACTCTATAATATTGGACATCCACCCCCACTCCACCTCCACCTCCACCTTCAACTATACATATTCCATGCTTGAAAACCCTAAACCTATTACTTTTCATAACCAACTAATATAAATCATAAATCTCTTATTTTTCATAATCATCTTAAATCCTGAATGTGTCATCACCATCACCATCATCAACGCTATTAAACTTTAAAGTTTTGCTTCAAGTATAACGTATACTTCATTGCTTATTTTACTGTGTAGAGTAATAGAGGACGAGGACAACAATTCTAGTGAAACCGGCGTTCCATTAATAAGTTTATCTGTCTTGTATTAACATTCTCGGTCGTTTTCGATCGTTCTTGTTTCGTTCGAGCTGTTCGGTATTGGTTTGCTGACTGTTAGAATTATGTTCGGTAATACAGTACTGAACATAATCCTTTCGTTCAATACATAGGTTCCGAACATTAATGCAAATAGTTAGTTATGTACTTTTCTTTGTTAAACTAACTTAGAATGGAAAAGAATGAATTGAAATGGATTTAAGTTATGTATTTTGAATGGATTTAATTCGTGTGTATTTTAAGTTGTGAATTGAAATGGATTCAAGTTACACAGTGATGAACAAATTTTGTTCGGACATACAGTGCTAACAGGATCATTATTGTTCAACAAAACAGTTCTGAACAAAATACATTTTTTTGACTACACAGTGGTGAACAAATTCAAAATCATCACTCGAATATGCTGATCTCCTATCGAGATTCTTGAATTCAGGGCATTTAGATGAAAGCTTTAATCTGGTTCTTCTGGCCTGTCTCCAAAAACCCAAATGTAGAAACTGAGATTCTCAAATAAATCAATAAGAAATCCGAAGCTCCGATCTACGAAGAAGTGAAAGACATGGTTTACACACACGCGTCGCTGAGCGAGACCATGAGACTTTACCCACCCTTCCTCATTGACGAAAAGCAAGCTTTAAAGAACGACGTGTTGCCAGATGGGATAGTAGTGAAGAAGAGTATGAAAGTGAATTACCATCCTTACGCAATGGGGAGGTCGGAGGAACTGTATCGGACCAAAGCTCCAAGCTCTAAAGATTGAGTGAGTCAGGGAAGGAGAGGGATGAAAAATTAGGTGGGTATGCATTTCATTGTGAAAATATTATGAATATGGACAGATTTGGTAATAAGTGGGGTGTCCAAAAAAATATTATTAAAATTTAGGGTTTAGGGTTGGGGTCCAAAGAAATGAGGGGTTCAAAAATTTTGATAAGTGCTAATAGCAGCACTCTAAAAAAATTAAAAAACTAAAAATTTGATTTTTTACCATTGTTCCCAAAATGGCCGTATATTATTTTGTTTGGGATGATTTAAATAAGTGTACTTTTTGTATTTTACGAAAAGATGTGTAGAAAAGTAAAATGGTGATGTGATGGAAAAAAGATAAAAAGATAGATTATTTTGTGTATGCCAAACTTGGCCATAATTAAAATAGAAACATAGGAGGTTTATAATTATAGATTAATTGGTGAAAAGTTTATTCATATGTTATTTAAGTTTTGTTTCACAGCTCATTGTTTTAGTTTAAAATTCAAAAAATCACTAAAAGAATTAAAAAGTCAATAACTTATATCAAAAATCAAAAACATATTTTCGTAAAAAATCAAAAATTCATTCTAAACCTACTAATTTTTGTATCTCATATCTTAACTAAAAAATTAAAAAATTATCAAAATAGCATGTTCCCAAATGACACCTTAATCTAAAGTCTGTTATTTTTCAATTATTTGAACATTCGATGAAAAGTTATTAGCAAAGTC